TCTCAGGAGGGTCAACTTTACATTTCCCAGCTCTGTGGAATTCCTTTGAGTAAGTAAGCCCAAAGAGCTTTCTGTTTTCACTTTCTGTCCCTTAATTCTGTTTGAAATCTAATTATCACTGTTGAGTATATAGTTTTCATTAATCTATACATATAATTCCATTTCTATTCCACCTCGTTCCTGGACAGTTTTAATGTAAAAACTGCTTGCATATCCCTCTTTGTTACATATATCACCACACACACACACACCCCCCAAGCACAAGCATGCACAAACATAATGATTGGTCAAATGTGTTATTCAATTGTCCTAAGATGTCTATATTCAAAGGAGAAGATGTTTTCCCACAGTCTTTCATTGTTGCATTAATTAAAAGCAATGATATTGAGACCAAAAATGTACACTAGACAAGCTCCCACAAAAAACACAGTAAAAATCTTGACATAGTTTGCGTATGTTATAAATTACATAGGATTATACCTATGGCTTTAAAAGATTTACTAGGATACCGTTTTGTGGCTTCTAAATTCTAAAATATCCTCTAACTGCCAAGCTAACTAGAACATGAAGAATATTTTGTCAAATGGAGATACACATTTTTTTCTATGCCCCATGGTATTCCTATGGCATTTCACTGTTTTTCACCAGTACTAAAGATTTGGAAGTAATTTTACTTCATATTTTCCATGTAAGGAAAAAAGAAACATGAGTCTTACAGGATATGTTTCCACTCTTATCATTACTAAGGAATTATTAGCACAAACACTTTCTCATAATGCTAAAAAGAGAACCATAAATTTATGTCAATGTCAATATTGAACTTTACCTGAGTCCTATGCTTCTGTGGAACAGTAATGCCTAAGGAATCCATCCCCATAATTTTGGTTTTCAGAAATCTCTTCCAACTTCTGTGTTTCAGGAAGTGGCTCAGCACCAAGAACCACCTTTTCCCATGGGACTGAGGTAACACTGCTTGTCCACTGTTTCCCATGACTCCCATAAGACGTGGATGATCCCCTGGTTGATGATGAGGCCAAACACAGACCTTCCTTTTTCCTGAACCAGCTGAAAAGGCCAGACACAGACCCTCCACCTTGTTGTTCTTTATCTCATAAATGATTAGCTTAAGACCAGAACTGTCCCTCCCCCTGAAACTGGCCAGACAAAGAGATAAACATCTCCTGTTCAGCTAAGTGCCTGGGACTCCACCTAATTGCACAATACCCCCAACTGTAAATCATGCTGTGTTCCTCCCTGTGACAGTCGGGGGCAAAACCACTGTGCTAAGGCATTCTGATTTTTGGACCTGGTGTGCACTCCTTGTTGTAATAGCCTGAATAGAATCAATTTCCTTACTGGTTCTCCTTTTGTCTTTGGCATCAGTAATGCTGAACAAAACTATGACACTTAAGAAACTACTCAGACAATCCTGAACAACACTCTGAAGGCAGTTGAGAAGTTCACCACCAGCCAGTCCTTGCATAATCTTGTTTCCTTTACTACCTGCATTCAGCTTAAGCACTGCCCACTGGCAAAGTTACATAGACACGTAAGTACAGATTGGTACTTTTATTCGTCTTTGTTTAAAACAGGGAATCACCTTCCACCAAATCATAAAATTCTCAAGAGCAAGATAAAAAACATGTTTTCTAAGTCTCCAAAACCCTTTGGAGTATCTTTCTCACAAGGGATGGGCATTGTTAGCCTGCTGGGTGTCAGTTGATAATTTTGTCTAAATAAACTAGGTGGTGTTTTTGTTTTTTCTTTCTCAATTTAGAGTATTGAGCAAGTTTTGTCCTCTCAGAATGCCCTTCTTGGAGATAACAGATGGGCCAAATCTGCTATGAGATATCAACACGTATTCCTTGGTAATTCTGTGGGCTTCCTCGGCCATGGTGGCAGTGAGGGTAGCACACAGGGGAAGGAATGAAGATGGATTCATCACCTGGGGCTATGAAGTCCATGCCTCTCCACAGTGCCCCTTCCCTGACCCTAAAGCTCACATACACTACCAAGATCCAGCTTGTTAATAGAAATAACAGAGCACCAAACTCCTGTGAATATCTCCTGCAAAAAAACTTGTTGGAAAAGGCAGGCTCTAAGATAATGTTCCACACTGGCAATTTGGATTTTCATTACAATACCTGTTACTACCTCTGATCTGTCTACTATATGCCAACCACAGCACTGAGCACATCATAAGTGACACTTTTCAACCACACAACAACTTGCTGAAAGTCAAGTTCAAGTCTGTCTGAATCCAAAGCCTTTGCTCTTTCTTTACTGATGATTGATCTATATCAAGAATACATTTCTTTACTTGATATAAGAGATAGATTGTGGGCCACCTGAAAACCTTCACAGACTACTAATAATCATCAGAAAGATTGGGAAGTGGGCGAGGAAATTCTGAATTCATACTTGTATCGTAATATTCTATTAGATAAACAAGTTAGGGCCATGTTGAGCAGGTCAGCTACTGTAAGCAAAGGTCTCAGATGTGGCACCAAGGCTGTCTGTCCTCCAATTTCCCTGAACAGCTTAGCGAGAGTCTCCACGGTGTAGTTATAAAATGAACCAATGAAGAAATGTAGAAAAGTATTTGTTTGTTTTCTCCCATAGTGTGTTATGAAGGTTTTAGCCCAAAATCTAAGGAAGCAGAATGAAGATTTCTAGAAAACGCAGGTGAGATGAAGCCAAAGTGTTATTTATACAAACATGAAATCACATCAGCTTGTTCTGAATGCAGCGTAATAAGCTGCCTTTCTTAGGAATAATGAAGCTTGAGACAAGGATGTTTTTTCTCACTTACAGGAAAGCGTTCCAGAGAGCTGGCATCACATCCCTTCTCTACTAGAAGTTCCTTTACACTGACCCGATCCAGGAGTGGTGAGAAGCATGTAAATTGTCAAATGAAATCCTGCTTGTGGTTTGGAAGGAGGAGAAAATAATATGAACCCACCAGCTTTGTTTCTAACCATGCTGAGAAGCTGTTTTTTTAAAACCCTTTCCAAAGCACTGGGTCCTCTGAGGGTGCTTGATCAGTGAATTGTCAAGGTAAATTTCCATCTACCAGTTCTCCAGTTTTAGCTCCAATAAGGTGATTCCAAAAGAATAGAATTGCACAGTGAAGCAATCTAAGAAAAATATATCTACCAACGTTCGGGGAAAATGCCAGGCATGACATGGATAGACAGGCAAAAACTAAGGCCGGGCATGATGGCTCACGCCTGTAATCCTAGCACTTTGGGAGGCCGAGGCAGCTGGATCATGAGGTCAAAAGATTGAGACCATCCTGGCCAACATGGTGAAACCCCTTCTCTACTAAAAATACAAAAATTAGCAGGGCGTGGTGGCGCATGCCTGTAGTCGCAGCTACTCAGGAGGCTGAGGCAGGAGAATCACCTGAACCCAGGAGGCAGGTTGCAGCGAGCCAAGATCGCATCACTGCACTCCAGTCTGGTGACAAGAGTGAGACTCTGCCTAAAAAATAAGAAAGGCAAAAACTATTGACAAGGAGACCAAAAACTAGATAGACAAAGAGCAATGGCAACTCTGAATGTCAAGAATAACGTACCCATATTGGTACCCTAAAGTACAGGCAGTTTGAATGCAATGCAAAAAGAATTACATAAACATCTATCACATTCACATCTTTTACCACTGACTTTCCAGCTCATTTTCGACTAATGCTCCTCTCCTCTACACTCACCCAACATTCAACCTGGGCTCTATCTTCGTGCCTTCTGACAAATGCTTAAATTGTCTGCTGCTGCCACAGCCCAATTAACCTATCTCCTTGATTTGATATTCCTGAGGCTTGTGTCCCAATCCAATGAGGCTCATTCAAACACTAAGAGGCCCAGATTGAGCTCTCCAGGATTCTCTTTTGTGTCCCCTCTCACCATAGAGTCATGCAGTGCATAAGGACGGTCCAGTCAATGATGGATCACACATATAGTGGTGGTTCCCTAAGATTATAATGTCATAGTTTGACTATACCTTTTCTATGCTTAGCTATGTTTATATACACAAATATCATTGTGTTACAATTGCCTGCAATATTCAATATAGTAACATACTCTACAGGTATAACCTAGGAGCAACAGACCACACCCCATAGCCTAGGTGTGTAGATGGCTATACCATAGCGTTTTCTCTAAGTATACACTACAATGTCACACAATAACAAAATCTCCTAATGACACATTTCTTAGAACATATCCTTGTTGTTAAGTGATACATATCTGTACTTGAACACTGTACTTGCGTTCCTCCCCCACTGAACTCAAGCACAACTTCTGCTAAAGGTAGCCTCTTCACAGAAATTCTCCCTGGGCTGGGCACAGTGACTCACACTTGTAATCCTAGCACTCTGGGAGGCTGAGTTTGGCAGATCACCTGAGGTCAGGAGTTTGAGACCAGCCTGACCAACATGGTGAAACCCTGTCTCTACTAAAAATACAAAAACTACCCAGGCGTGGTGGTGGGCATCTGTAATCCCAGCTACTTGGGAGGCTGAGGCAGGAGAATCACTTGAGCCTGGGAGGCGAGGTTGCAGTGAGCCGAGATCATGCCACTGCACTCCAGCCTGGGCAACAGAGCAAGACGTTGTCTCAAAAAAAAATTCTCCCCCAATCTACATTTTGTTGTGCTACCTATCCAGTTCATAGTTAACCTATTTTGAAATTTGGGTATTGTTTTCTGGCAACTCCCACTAAAAATTCACATCTATTTTTTTCCTTAGTGCCTTATTAAAAACTTCTAATTCCACATCCTGTTATACAGTAGTCAGCATTTTCTAATTTATGATAGTGCAATTTGGTAACATTCCAAATACCTTAAGTCTTTGAAGATTGTTCCAATCATCTTTTTTGTGACTTCCATATGGTTAGAACTGGAATTCTTCACTTTCCACTTTCAGATTTTGCTCTGTATACTTTTTGTATTTTATTATTCATTTATTTATGATATTGGTTTTAATGCAGAAATGCTTGGGAGTCAAGCTGTTATGAATAACGTGATCCACGTGGGGATTTTCCAGATTTTTGGATTTTTGGTCCTACACATACAGCATCAAGAACCGCCAAGAAATAAGATTACTGGTTGAGACTTGTGAAGAAAACAATCAACTTTTATTTTACAAAGGCCACCATGATTACTAAAAAAATGTGTATCATTATAATCACAGTAGTGGACTAGACCAAGGGAGAAAAAGGACATGTGCAGTCATATGGAAGGTTAGCCTTATTCATGCTTTGCAAAATGTTTACTCTGTGAAATGTGTTCGGGAACCACATTGCCTCTAGACATGATTCCAGTAAACATCATGAAGAATATTAGGATTTTGCAGGCCAGACTGGCTTCAAAAGTGAGTACACTAGCCAGGGAACCCACAGGGAATAAAAGAGCACTCTGGTGTCATGTTGCTAGGAGAGTCAAGTTCTCATGGCCTTGTGGGGATGGGAAACAGATTGAGGATCTTGGATTGGAGAAGAGATGTCCTTTGTAATTACACTAACTAGGCATGTTCTTGGTGGTCCAAACCTGTACTTTTCATTTTTTGATAGACTATAAAATTTATCTACTGTGTTTGTTCATCATTAGTCTCTCTAAAATATAAGCTCCATGAAGGTAGGAGCCTTACCTGTGTTCTCTGTTATATTCTCCGTGCCTAGTACCTAATTTGTAAACGGTTTCTATAAAGAATGAGCTAAGGAGAAAGAGTGAATGTATGGGAAGGCCGACTTTTGTCTCAACACAAAGACTTTTCTAATTATGTACACTGACAGGCTGGGTGGTCTTCCCCAGGAAGTGCCTTTCTCCAGAGAGCCAGAAGAAACCCAACAGCTGGGACATGTGATGAGATGACACATCAGAGGTGTTTGACCACTAAGGTCATTTACAGCCTTGTGGTTTCAAAAGATGAGCCTTTACCAAAGACTTTGCAATGGATGAAGCCCTGGACAATCATACTGTGGAAAGTAAATGACTTGACAACTAATTGAACTTGGGAAATGGGAGGTAAGGAGTCAGAGACGGCACTGAGACTCTCAGCCTGGGGTTATCGGTGCCATTGAGGGGAAAACTGCATTTCAATAGAAATGCTGATTTGTGTCAAACTTTAGGCAATGATTAGAAATCCCAAGTTTAGTGTGTCCGTAGACCACTTAGGAGATATCTACAGGTAATTATAGTCAGGCAGATGGGAAGCTCAGGAGAGGCTGAGGCATGCCACACCCATTTGTTAGAATAATTATCTCCACAGGAAGATATCTGAGGATAATGCTTAAATGGTACCATAGATGAATAGTCCATTTAGCTATACAATTTCATATAATTATGTAGGATGTAGGCATTATACCTCCATTTCACAGTTGAGAAAACAGTGGCCCAGAGTGATTTTATTGCTTATAAGTGGCAGAGCTCTAACTTGAATCCCGATCTTAAGAGTCTGAGGCTGAAGCTGCTTCTTCAGCGTTCTGCTCCAGTGAGCTGTGAGTCACCAGAACGAGGCTCCTCCCTACTATGGGACTGGTGAACTGGCTGCTTATTAGCAGTGAGAAGGTTCACCACTTGTCCTTGACACAACTGTGGACAGCCCCCTCCCCATTCTCACTTCCAGTGCCAGTGCTTACCACCTGCTACCAGGGAGCCTCCCGATAAAACTGCAAGTTAATGATGGTTGCACCAGCCAAACATTCTTGGATAGGGTGGTACAACCTGTTCCCCAATACAAGGCTATCAAAGCAATGTTTTGATTTTTTTTTTCTCTCTCTCTCTCTAGTGATGATGTTCACTGTGAGAACAACCAATGGGTAGCTGAGTACGGTGGCTTGGGATCTGGGGCAAAATGAGCTCAACAGGGATACATGAATAAGCTGTTAAAGCCAAGTGGAAATGAGAAGTAGAGGGAATTTGGAGAGGCAGATGAAGAAGGCATTAGGGAGTATTGAGAGAACATGGAGTGAATGTTGTCAGACTGTGGCTTCAGGAAAGGGAACATTTGCCCACATTTGCCCAGCTGCAGCATTATAGCATCCCTTTCTGTACACTGGATTTACTCTACCAGGCAGAAAAAATGGGAGAGACCACAGGAATCCTGGCAGTGGTGAGGGTGGGTAATGAACTAGCAGTGCTTTGGAAAAGTAATTTTCTGTCTTAAATAGCTGACAGTAGCACCTGCTATAATTCCGAAGAGTTTTGCAGGAAAGCTTTTATTTGCTACACAAGAAAGGCTGGGCAAGTAGATTCCTAGCTGGGAAGTAGAGTCCTAGCACCCACAGAATGTAGAGACTGGGTCAGTTTTTACTTAAGAGGGCAGTGCTTTACATTGGAAAGCCAAAGGAATTTGGATTCAAAGAATTTCTTTTTTTTTTTTTTCTTTTTGCAATTTTTGGAACCATAATTCAGCACTACTAGATTAAGGCATGCTCCATCAAACTAAAAATCAAAAGCTTTCCTATGGGGAAAGTCTCAATGTTATAGCTGAAAGAGGTGACAGCCGCATTACTGCCATCAAAAATAATTTATTAACCGTGTGTGTGCAAAGTACTCTGGTAGGCACCAAACCCCAGGGGCTTCCTGTTTCAATACATGCTCTGGTCTCTGCAGTCTCTTCAGTGTAACGCTTGGCTCTCCACCTGTGAATAAAATGGATACCTTGAAAACTTCATCTTTTCGGAGACTATACAGGACAAGAGAATGCGGGCTCCATCATCCACACCAATCAGACAGTGCTGGGAAAATGTATTAGGAAGCTGCCTTTCTCAACCTTATATTCTTAACGTTTGTAAATAAAAACCCCTCCTCTTCGGTTTCCACTTTAGGCCAGGAAATCTGGGGAGAGTTGCCAAGCCAGGTTTTGCACTATCAGCATATATCATGCTAACACCAGCTCTTTGCCCTTTGCCTCGGCAGGTACCACGCAGCGCTGGAGAAATAGGTACACAGGTGCCTCCCCAGCCAAGGGAAGAAACCAGCAACGGAATTTCGGAGTCCAACCCCAAATCGTTTTACATTTACCTCTCACAAACACTTGCCTCGTAACGTGTGTACCTGTGCGTACATTTACACGTAAAGACAGTATTTTAAGGCAAGTTCACATAAATGGCTTGGAGATATCTGACAGGTCTGATTACACAAAGGTCTTCTGCTCCACCTGCATCTCTGGAACTCAGGCAAAGGTGGCCTTCCATCTAGCCGCACCGCCATCCGGCAAGGGAGGGCACGGGCACCCTCCCACCAGCATCCGCCCCCGCCCCTCGCCCAGCAGCGTCAGTTTCTGACCCCACTGGATCCGTACAGGAGACGGGCTCACAATCGGTAGGGAGCTGTTTGTGCCAACCCCCGGCAAACGGGGGTTTGCTTGGATCATTTATTTATCTTGTGTGCATTAAGAAACCAGCATTAGGCGCTGGTGGGAGGCGCTACTCTGCCCGAATCCCAGCCCGCCGCGGCGGTTCTGCACACACACACGCACCCGCCTGGCAGCCAGAGCCCGCCTGGAGACGCCCTCGGCCTGGGGTCCGCGTCCCCGGGGACCCCCGACGCAGTCTCCCGCTTTCGTCCCCCACGCTCAATCGGGCAGGGCGCCGGGGCGTGATTTCCGATCCTCTGCCTGCTTGTCGAGTCCCTCGGAGGCGGGTCAGACCGCACCCGCCGCGGGCGCCCGGTGCGCCCCCAGCCCCTGGCTCGCAGCGGCTACAGCGGCGCCGTTCGCTGGAGTTTTGACTCTCCGGCGGCGGCGGCAGCGGCGCGGAGCAGCGGGCGGCTGGAGCTAGCGGAGCCGGACCACTAGCCCTCCGCGCTGCGCTGGGATTGGTCTCTCCGGGAGAGTGCTGGCCGAGGGTTGGCTGCCGGCCGGCTGAAGAACAGGTGCACCTCACCGCCCGGGCTCGCCGAGCAGCCGCCGAGGATCGCGGCGGCCAGGCCGGCGCTCTGTGTCGGAATGCGGCTGGCTGGCACCCGGCACCCCGCGACCGGCCGGCGGGGCCACTGAAGGCGGTGCGAGGTCCAGGAGCGGCGCGAACGGGCGCCCCAGGGAGCGGGTCGGGCGCGGTGCCCCGAGGATGCCGGCGCGGCTGGAGCGCACGCAGGCGGCGGCCAGCAGCAGCAGCAGCGGGTGCGGGGCCCCGGCGCGCAGGAGGCCGCTTGGCGGGCTGCAGACGCGCCCCGCCGCTCTCTGACCGACCGGAGGCGCCGGGGGCCCGTCTCGCCCCTCTTCCGCGCTCCTCACCGCCCCCTCCCCGGCCCCGTCCCCTCCCCCGCTCCTCTCCTCCCCGCCCGCCGCCCGCCTCTCGGGGGGAGGGGCGTGGGGGCAGGGAGCCGATTTGCATGCGGCCGCCGCGGCCGCTGCCTGCGCCCGAGCCCGCCGCCGCCGCCGGAGCCCGCGCCCGCGCCCGACCCGCGCGGCCCCATGCCTCTGGCGCGGCCCTCGGGGGGGCGAAGGTGAAGACCGGCTCCTAGGATGAGTGAAGGGGCGGCCGCTGCCTCGCCACCTGGTGCCGCTTCGGCAGCCGCCGCCTCGGCCGAGGAGGGCACCGCGGCGGCTGCGGCGGCGGCAGCGGCGGGCGGGGGCCCGGACGGCGGCGGCGAAGGGGCGGCCGAGCCCCCCCGGGAGTTACGCTGTAGCGACTGCATCGTGTGGAACCGGCAGCAGACGTGGCTGTGCGTGGTACCTCTGTTCATCGGCTTCATCGGCCTGGGGCTCAGCCTCATGCTTCTCAAATGGATCGTGGTGGGCTCCGTCAAGGAGTACGTGCCCACCGACCTAGTGGACTCCAAGGGGATGGGCCAGGACCCCTTCTTCCTCTCGAAGCCCAGCTCTTTCCCCAAGGCCATGGAGACCACCACCACTACCACCTCCACCACGTCCCCCGCCACCCCCTCCGCCGGGGGTGCCGCCTCCTCCAGGACGCCCAACCGGATTAGCACTCGCCTGACCACCATCACGCGGGCGCCCACTCGCTTCCCTGGGCACCGGGTGCCCATCCGGGCCAGCCCGCGCTCCACCACAGCACGGAACACTGCGGCCCCTTCGACGGTCCTGTCCACCACGGCCCCGTTCTTTAGTAGCAGCACGCCGGGCTCCCGACCCCCGGTGCCAGGAACCCCAAGTACCCAGGCAATGCCATCCTGGCCCACTGCGGCATACGCTACCTCCTCCTACCTTCACGATTCTACTCCCTCCTGGACCCTGTCTCCCTTTCAGGATGCTGCCTCCTCTTCTTCCTCTTCTTCCTCCTCCTCTACCACCACCACACCAGAAACTAGCACCAGCCCCAAATTTCGTAAGTAAACACTGTGTCTCAACTATGATTTACTACTGGGTTTCCTTTCTGCCCTCCTGCTTTTTCTCTCGCCGCCTGCCTTCTAGCAACCCCCCTCCCCCATCCCAGGTTTTGGGGCAGAGTGAGAGCTGATTAAAACTGGCCACCAGAGGGGAGGGTGCCAGCCTGCCCTGGTTCTCGGGGGTGGGGGCATGTAGAAAGGGGAGGGAGATTGTCAGGCTCCACTGGCCCCACTTTTGCGGGTCCCAAATGAGAACAGATCTCCCAGCTCCTTTCAAAGGGTTAACGCGAGTGCGATCCCTCCTCTCTGCAGACCTGCTGGCGAGCTGCCGGATCCCGCTCCAGTAGAGGGCCGGGGAGGGAGAGAGGGCCTTCCCCAAGGCACTGAGCCCCTTCTCCGCCCGCCGGTAGGAAGGAAAGAAAGCAAAGCACATGCAAAGTGACCGACGATAAACCACAGAAGGAAGTTATGTCCATGTGTGGGGTGACGAGTTGATGGAGGTATTCGTTTAACGTAGCTGAGGACGCTTCCAGCAGCCCTGACCTGGGCAGGAACCAGAAAGGGTTAATTAGAAGCCATTGGGAGACTTGGGGAAAGGAGGCGATCCAAGGCAAAGGGCTAAGCTGGTCACCTCCTAGCCTGCCCGTGGCCATTCCAAGGTGTAGACATTGATTCTGTGGCCGGCCAGAGTGAGTTAACTAGGAGGAAATAGGAAGGGAGCCCTGCCGAGCTGCCACCTCTAGGGTCCTGACGGAGGAGGAGTTTTTTTTTTTTCAGCCCTGCCAAGCCTTTGCTTTTGTTCCGTTCCCATAGGTGGGGTGTGAACCTTATCTCCTCTCCCTCTGTGCCTGAAAAACATAGGCGAGTTGAGAGTTTTCTGCACTCAAGGGTGAGAACATCCAACCGTTTGGAAGCATGTCACCGTTAGAATGTAGCATCTTCAACCTGGGCTCAGTATGGGCCAGTATACCCAAAGCATGGTAGCTTTCTGTTTATTTGTATAGAAAGTGCATATTTTCTCAACATGTTTATAAATGTTTTAGGTGACTCATTGACCTCCCACCCCACCCCCCACCTTGTTTTTATTCTAAGGAAATCTCAGGCGTCTTTTAAACTGATTTGATCAGGATATGGGAACAGTTTGTGCAACCTGTGAAGGTTATTTAGGACAAACTCCAGCCTGCTAGTTCAAGTTCTGTGCAAGGCTATCTTGCAGAAAACTGTCTGGTTATGCTGTCTTTATATTGTATTTGTGTTTTGAGCCATAGCATCTGGGAGAAGGGAAGAGTGTTCATCATTAACTCTTCAGTGATGGTGGGAATACCGGGTTTGCTTTCAGTCATCTGCTAATTTTTCATTTCCCTTACCTGTGATCTTATCCTGGGTGTTACTTAACCCTTGAAACTTTTTTCTTTTTAAAGAATTTAGTATATTTGTAAGTAAGGTCCAGGAGAGGGAAAGGAAAAAAAAAAAGGAAACCTACTTTGCTTTGGAAAAAACAGTCTAGAAGATAAATTGGGAGACAGGAAGGAGGGAAGGAAGGAATCTGCCACAAACCAGAATGGCAGTAGAGCCTGTAACTTGCTGCTTCTCTCTCCTTTGGCTGAAGCAGTCATTTTTGAGAGCACATTTTCTCAGGAGGTGTTTAGAGCCTCCACTCAATAAATCTAACTTGAGTTTTGTAGAAGGATAAAGGATTCATGAGTGTATGTGTGAGCATATTCAATGGACTGAAAATGAGTCTACTTTGAAGACTCCAGATTTTTGATTTGCTCTTTTGATGCAGTTGATATGAATAATGGAGTGTGGTATATCTCCAACCCTTGTATGCGTTGGGAGAGGAGGGGGACTACACATGGTAGGGGTATTTCATGTTCTTTCCCAATTGATTTCCTTGTATTCCATTCCGGAGGTCTTTAAAGAAAAGCCCAAGGTAATTATTTCTACCCCTCTATGCTCTCTTCCTACATTCTGTGGACTGGAATGGCAGCCTGTTTAATAAGTAATGATTATTGACAGGGCCCTCAGCCCCAAGGAAAAGAGGGGAAAAATCTGTAAATGGTGTCAGTGTTCACATAGACTTAGAAGCAGTATTTGTTTTATTTGTATCTTACGTTCAGTTCTTTCTCTTTTTTAAACCTTTACAAGAAGTTGAATTAAGGTATATAATACAAGTATGCAAAATCCAGCTGAAATTGACCTGGTTTGCATCTATAAACAAGGGAAATTTTAATGAAAAGTGGATTATGTAGTTTTCTTAAAACATATTTAAATAGGCAAGTTGTATGGTGATTTGAAGAAAGAGGATAGCTTAGTTATTTTTTCATCCAAGATTGCAGGATGATTAACAAAAGGAAATTAAGATTTCATTTGAGAGATTATCAGCAATGCTACTGTAGGATGAAAAAAGCCTGAATCACTGGCGTTCATATTGTTTTTTACTTGTCTTGGTTATGCCCCTAAAGTTCCCAGGAGAGAAATTTCCTTTTCCCCAGCTCCTACCTCCGTACTTTAGTGGGTCTTTTCTGTCCTGGTGCTTTTTTTTTTTTTTTTTTTAATGAAAGTAATGGATTCTGTTGTAGTACTTGAAAAATGGTTTTTTTTTTTTTTTTTTTTTAATGAAAGTAATGGATTCTGTTGTAGTACTTGAAAAATGGTTACGGATGATGCTTTGGTTTTTTGACTAACCCACAAATTCTTTAATGGCCAGGATCTTTGCTTTTGCATTGGATACCTGAAGGCTTATGGAATGAATGTCTTTGTGTTCATCTTAGATCAATCAGAAGGATCCTGTCTGTAAACGGCAGCATAGCTCTTTGGAGTGGAAGAGGCTGGTTCACTGAAAATGAACATGCTTGCTAATGGATAATGGAATTTTTTCAAGCAAAAACTATTCTTGCTATGGGGAAGGCCCAGTTGGAGAACTGTTTCTAATTTTCTGTAGGATCAAAGACAAAGAAGGATTGAACTTGTAAGGCAGGAGGAGAAAGGAGGGTTTGCAAGTTGATTCTTCTCTTCCCATCCTCCATTGTTTAGGCTGTGAGCTGGACAAAAACTTTCTTCAGTGTTACTGGGATTCTTGGGTTTCCAGTTGCCTAGTACTTGCTTGCACTTCAGACTCTAAAAACGGATATCTTAAACATATTGCCAGGGGAGATTATTTCACCAAAAACATCTTTGAAGCATTTTGTATTTGAAAGTATAGGTCAATTTGCAGGTTTTTCAAGCCAAAGGGAGGTCACTACAGACAGTAGAGAACAGTGATTTTGACCAATGTACAATCAGTGTTTCCCTTTTACACCTCCTTCAATTTCATTTTCAGATTTGAAATATAGTTGTACAATGTTGCCAATGCAAATATGGATTGTTTTAGAGACAGAGAATTCTTTTACTAAGCTGAAAATACTGTTTAACAGGTGGTAGCCCGGAGTCATTGGCTAAATTCAAATACTAAAGACAAAGAACCTATTTTAATAGATGTTTCTTTGGGTTAGATTTGGAAGGTATATGGTTAATTATAATGAACACACAAATATCAAATAGTGTATTTAAGAAGAAATAAATGTAGAATATACATTTGATGTTTAAGCAAGGTATGGAGGCAATTTTAATTTAATCAAGTCTATTAAGATGAAACTTTACCTAGTCATACCTACTATAATTTTTAAGAGAGGCATTGATAAAATCAACTATTTTCTTATTTATTCTTTCCAACATCTTCCTTAAATTTTAAGAGTACACTTGTTTGCTGTATAAGCAGCCTCAGATATAATTTGTTTAAATAAAGTTACTCCTGTACGTTGTATTCTGTCTACATGAGTCTCGGCCTTCAAAGGCATCCACATAGAAGGTACTGACCCAATCATGCATGGTAGCTAAAGTGAGAGGATTCAGTGCTCAGGATCAATATTTCTTATGAAATCCAATTGAGAGCTTTTTTTTTTATGAGCACATGCTGCAACCTGAGTATGTTTTGATTTTCTTTGGCCTTAATACAGGATTATGAGACTTTTCTGCTTTAATCAATTATGCTGTACAATTTTACTGTTACACACTTATGCTGCACTTCATGGTCCTAATTAAAAAAAAAGAGGGCAGGGGTGGGTGTGTTAGCAAAGATTTTTTTAGGGCCATTTTTAGTTTGGACTCGTTGGTCTCCGTGCATGAAGACAATGCGGTTTAAGCATTCCTCCCCAGTTCTTCAAACTGAGGTGAGGAATAGGAGGTGGTGTTGCTAATTGAGAGTCCCTTCTGCAGGTTTGATTTGTGAATCCAGTTACCTTTATATTTATGCTATTTTCAAAACCTGACCCCAAAAAAGCTGGTTTCTGGCAATTTCTCGCTGTTACTGAAGCTTTTCTAAATTCAGGTTGGGCCACAACAGCAGTGTTGGTGCAGTTTGAAATCAGTGCCATCCTGGGAGATCCAGGATGTAGAGGAACACCATCTCTCCTCTCTCTGGAGCTACTTTTTCAGCCCTTCCTCCCCTTTGTACACAATGAGAAGAAAGCTTATTTTCAACTTGCTTTTGTAGAAATTCTTTCCTCATAACCTCTCATCTCCAATGCCAAACATATCTCAATATTCTATCTGGGATGTCAAAAATGGAACATGAAAGTTGGCCCCGAAATATGTAAGAGCAAGGGAATAGTCATAAATCTAAGTCTTTAAAATGCATTTGAATTGCTTCTGAATAGAACTGAAATTCATTTTTCTTTCTTTCTAGCTGTTTTTATCTTTAGAGTCGTGTGTTGGGTGAGGACAGAGCTGGTACTGCGTTGACAAATACATTTTGAGATCCTAGAAATTTTACTTTTCCACCCAAGAAAGTGTTCCCTCCAGAACCATATACATAGTGAAGTGAGCAATGGACTCTATTTGAAACTTTGCAATATCACAATCAAAACTTACCAAAATAAATGTTTCCTATTCATGCAATTATAAATAAAATCGTTAGACACATGTTTAGTTTGGTTTTCCATTTCACCCTTCCCCTAAG